GTTGCGAAGGTTATGGTTCATCAAATAGCCAAATTAAAAAAAGTAAAGGATAGTTACTCCCAAAGACTGAAAAAAGCTTTGAAGCTATCTGAGAATCCAACCTTCCTTAAGACTATAAAAAAAGTTTAGTACAATGGCTGCAATTTTTACTCCGTTACAATTAAGGGAGATTAATAAACCCAAAATGGACCGCAGGTTTACTCAGGAAGAAAAAAAAATGGATTTAAGCCTTTATAAACGTGGCCCAAAAGCTTATAGATGGATGAGCAAGGTTTTCGTTCAGCCATCATAGAGCTGCATTAAAACCGGGCATTAAAGAAAATATATTTGAAATGCTCAAAAAGGTGACAAAAAAATGAAAGATAATAGTAAATTAAGTGTTTTACTTTTCGACGAAATTGCATTAAGCCCACATTTTGATTATAGCAAGAGGAAAGATAGAATTTCTGAATTTGTAGACAATGGAAAAAAATTGTAATATAAAAAAATTAGTAAATAATAAATAATAATAATAGCAGATCATGCTCTCGTTTTCATAATAAGAGGTGTATAAAAAGTGTAAGCAGTAAGCAGCCGATAAGCTATACATTTTGTTCTAGGAGCACAAGAAAGCACGAGTTAACGCAACAAATAAAAGAAAATATTTCCCAATTGCAAAGAATTGGCTTTAAAGTTTCAGCAACTGTTTGTGATCAGGGTGCCTCTAATATAAGTGCCCTGAATCAATTAATTGCAGAAACTCGAGTAGATTATTTGAGAAGGGAAAAAGAATTTCGATATAACGTTTTCACAGTAAATGACTAAGAATTAATTATATGATGCTCCTCAATTAATAAAAGGAATACGGAATAATTTAATAACAAAACATTTGAAATAATAAAAGAAAGGGCAGATAAAAATGGCCAAATGGGAGTATCTGAAGCTTTTACATGAAGAAAACCCAGCATACAAAGGAATAAGGTTGATGAAAAATCTATCCGAAGCTCTCGTCAATCCAGAAAAAATGAATAAGCAGAAAGTCAAATATGCCACGCAAATATTCAGCCAAACAGTAACCTCAAGCATGGAGTGCTTAGATGGTAATTGTTCAATCTTCTAAAAACCCTGCGCCCCCTTTTCCCTAAAGGGGGTCGCTTCCGATTCGGCAGGCCTCATAAGCCAATGCCAGTCTCACAGGTGGTGTTTAGTGGGTAGGCACTTAGGTTAGGTTAGATGAGTCGCAGAAAGTCCCACATAACCACGACAGCCGGCTGTCGTAGTATGCTTAAAGCATGCACCACCTCCCTCCTCGCTTTCCGAGGGGTAGCCCTTTTCAATTGCTTCTGGGCGCAAAAAAAAACTTCTAAAAACAAAAAAATATGCTGAAAATATGTAAACAGGTGATACTCTACCTCTACCACACACCTCGAGGGTGTACCATACTGAGATTGCAGGAAACTTGTAATACTGTTTTATACTATAGTATAACAAACTAAACCTGTTGAGTAAAAGTCCATTTCTTTTTTCAGAAAAGGATGTTCTACCAGAAGAATGCACAGGGACAGCTGATATTTTATTATTTTTCAACGAATTATTTGATTCAGTTAATGGAAGCTACGACAATAGTAAAAAATAAATGGTAAGGAATTACTTCGCCAGTTAACTCCGAACTCAAATCATGAGAAGATGTGGAATGATGCCAAAAAAGTTCTTGCTTCAATGAAATTTGTTATAATTGACCGAATGGTATGTATACCGCCATCAATTACAAACTGGTTAAAAACAATTAATAATTTTCAATATTTAAAAGAAAAATTATTCAATGAATTTAAGTTAAAATTCATATGGCTCAGGCACTTTAAACCAGGACTTCCTTGAAAACTTTTTCGGATGTATACGAAGTCATGGAGCTCAAAGTACGAAGCCATCAGCGTACAGCATTTGAAGATGCATTTGCCTCACTTTTAATAAATAATTTAAATAGTAGCCATTCTCCTGGTTCAAATTGTGAAGAAGATGCTTGTGAAATATTCAGTAACCTTGGAAATTTACTCATAAAAGATAAAAACGTTGATTAAGATAACACAACTGAAACTAATTTTGATCACATGACGACAATATTATTATAGACTTCATATTAAAAAATATAACCCAACAATAAACTCTGCACTTAATTATGTAACTGGCTATGTTCTTCGCAATGCAAGTAAAGTTTTTAAAACTTGCACATCATTCAAAAACGAGTTGTATGCAATAAACGATATAGAAAGTAAAAAATGAGGGAGTATAGTAAAACTACTAGGTGGTTGACATACTTTGGTATGGTACAAGATATTATAATAAATATAATAAGAACGGCAAGCAATATAAAAAATATAAGGCAATATATAAAAACAGTTTTATTTATAACCATTAATATGGATTTCATTAAATGTCAAAAACATAATACGTAAATCCGAACTATCAAACTACATATATCTTTGATTTGAGTTCGAAGTTCTTCGTTTGCAACTAATAGGAAAAATATTTTCTGTTAGTACATATATTTCCAGTCGTATCTCTATGATATTTTCTAATATGTTTCTAGTACCTACATAAATAGTACACTAAATAATGTATAATGCGGCCAAACTAAAAATAGGACTGAATTTCCGCCATATTGTGACGTGTAAATGGGAAATATTAATTTAAAATAACAAATCGTATTTTTCCCGCTAGCACGTTACAATATGGCGGAAATTTGGTTATCTTCTTAGTTCGGTCACAATTGCAATAAACCTAGTAGACACAATACGTATAATGAGAACCTATAGGTATATACTTACTATAGGTTCTCATTATACGTATGTATGGAAAATTTTTAGTTCCTGCAATTAGAAGCAGATAGCGCCACTCTGAAATATTAGCTGTTTTCTCTGTCGGTAATATATAATATACTCTGTGGTCTACCTGACGACATAACGAAAGAAAAAGAAGTCTACCTGTTTTGGTCTAAATTGTTAAATTTTGAAAACCTTTGCGGCGAGAAAGAATTTACTCTTGTCGCACAGTTCACTCTTGACGCTTTACGCATCCCTCACGCCGATGCAGATTGCGAGGGCATCTTTAGCAAGATAAATCTTATTAAACGAAAAGCCGGAACAAAATTTTGACTAACACTATTAATAATGAGGTTATCGCTTCTGACAGCGTAAAACGTCTTGAAAAGGGATCATTTGAACCCACGAAACAAATGGCAAATAAAATTGTCTCCAATGTCCTGTATGCAACAACTTCTCTGCAGTCAAATCCGTCTACATCTACACTTCCGAGATTTCGAACTCGAAGAAAAAGCCGACTTCGAATTTTCCATTCCTGTTTAGTTCATATTGTTTAATTGCGTGCCCTAAGTCTTATTATTTTAATTGAAAAAATAATTAATAACATGTTTTTAATTTATGCAAAAATAAAGAAATAGCAAAAACTTATTATATTTGGATTTAGACAGCTTAAATAAATAAATAAATCTTTAGCAAAAAAATACAATAATTCTACCCAAAATACAATATTTTCTAGCTTGGCAATACCATAATTTCACACCAACTATTTCTCAACACTGCGTTTGTCAATCATTCAGTTTCAAAATAGTAGCAAGCGCAACAAAGAGTGTACCTTAGCGGTTCAATTTCTTAGCAAATTTAGTAAGGATGTGAGTTGCTAGTAAAACTTTTTATCAAATATTTAAAGGTTTTATTGGATGGTTATTAGTTTACGATATTGCTAAATGCCCGTTCCATGCAAATTCAAAAAATATAAATACATTAAACAATCGTTTATCAAAATAATATAGGTTATGTTCATAACTGGTACATGTCACATGTCATGTCTAACACATGTCCGCAAGTGGAAAGCTGAAAACTTAGGACAACAATTAAAAAAGAAAATTTCGCTCTCATATTTACGTTTAAATTAGAATAGAATATTAAAATGTGCCTTAGAAAATGTTACACCAGATTGCGTAAAAATGATTTTCGAGCTGGAGAATTATTTTCATTTGGACCAGATTACATAGATTTTTCAAAAATGCAGGCCCAAAATCGAAGACAAACTAACCCAAATCAACTGATGCCGTAACATGGTTCACAGTTTTTTTCTAAACTGAAACAGGGATTAGTAACAATTTTCACTGACTTAAACTGGACATAAACACAAACGATTTTTTTATATCCGTAGAACTACTTTAACGAAGAGTTAACACCTGAGGATTTGGCTTTATATACAATTTGGGCAAAGTATATACATATATACATACTCGTGTAGTGGCGGGTAAGAATACCCACTACTCCATATCTTGAGTGTCGTAAAAGGCAACAGAGGGAAACTGAGACAGAAGATGGGCAGCAGCATCTTTCTGATTACAGCAAAAAGCAATAAAAAACTGCGGTCGCCAACCCGCTTGCCAAGAGTGGCAACTATGGCAATATACCCCCCATGGGCAAAGACACTAATAAGCGACCCCAAGTCTCCAGCAGCCCCTGCCTGGAGTAGACTAGGAGCGGAACTTCACAAATAGGCTGAAATCAGAAATTTAAAACCGTGAAAAATATCCAGCGAGTGCGCTAAAGTCTCACCAACCGTGATAGACGACTTTTTTCATATTATAAAAAATCTCTTGAAGAAGTGTCCCCAGACTGTCTCATCAATTACGATGAGACAAACCTGACAGATGATCCGGGCTACAAAAAATATTTATTTAAGATATTTTGTAAATACCCCGAAAGGGTAATCAATAATACAAAAACGTCTATTTCTTTAATGATTACCGGCACAGCTGGCGGCCGGTTATTGCCTTGTTCTTCAAGCTTCTTATGAACTATCGCTTATCATCGCAAAGCCAAAGAAAAGTCATATTATCGGAGAATCATTTATTAAACCTTGCTTGTTAAATAAAAGCAGCTGATATCATTCTGGGACCAGAAATTAAACAAAAATTTTCGCAGATACCCCTCTCTGACAATACTGTCAAACGTCGCATTGATGATATGGCTGAAGATATAAAAAAACAAGTAGTAGAGGCCGTGAAAGAATCAACATTTTATGCAATACAGTTGGATGAGAGTACCGATATAGCACAATGTTGTCAACTTTTAGTTTTCGTTCGATACATGCAAAACGAAACAATAAAAGACGAATTGTTGTTTTCTACAGAATTAACGACTACCACAAAAGCAATCGATAATTAGAGATGGGTAACTCAGGAGAGATAGATACAAAAGATATGAATCAATCTGTTTCCATCAATCACTCTTTATATCCATCCGCATCCGAATGTATCACTATATCAGTATATCTTTACAACTTATTCACTCAAGGCATCTTTTGACTATCTAACATCTGTGTCGCACATTGCGCACACTGCTTTGTATTATACCTCGGCCGGTGTTGCTGGCCATTCCAGGAAGATTTCGGAAAGTAGTAATAGTACAGACGTTTCTTTCGCAGCTCACTATTTAGAATGTTCTGTCGCGTTTTGGCAAGACGGAGAGAGTGAGTTGTTTGACCATTATAAACTGTAATACGTTGGCACAAAAAGATAAATTGATAACTCTATGACTGGTGCATAGGGCTTAAAGTCATTAAGCGGTACGTTAACATTTAAGTATTATACTGGTTTAAACTGTACCTATGTGTAATTTTCCTTTAAATTTTTTAGTAAACATTGCAAACTAATTTCGGTTATAAAAACATCGTTTTTAAGAAAGTTTTATAACCGAAATTAGTAGTAGTTTATATCCATAAAAAAAGTAGAAAAAAGATTTGTGATTTACAAAATTAAACAAAGATCAGTTTGCTTCATTAATTCATTAGTTCAACCTTAACCTCGGTTCGGGTACGAGTGTAATATTGTTTTCGTTAGTTGCATCGAATAGATAATATTTGAAGTAGTTTTGTACACTTGGTGACTGTTTAATTTAAATGTAGGTAAATAAGACATTCAGTGTAAATAATTTAAAGTGTTTGTTGTTCTGTACGTACAGTTAGTGACTGTTTCCTTTATTTTAAGTGTAAATAATTTTGCATAGTTAGTGTATTATTAACAAAAAAAAATGGGTTCACGAAAACGAAGCGCAGTGTGGAATCATTTTGAGGAAGTAGAACCAAAAAAAGCAAAATGCCTTTATTGTGCGAACATGCTAAATTTACCCGCTGGAAATTGTGGTAACCTAAGTAGACATTTAAAAAGTAAACACCCCACAGTACCCCTCGTAGCTAAAAGGCAGCCAACGTAGCAGGCATGTTTTCAAGAAGCCCCGCAGGATACACTTGCGGCAACATCAACTGTGACAGAATCTGTCACGTCCAGTGCCCCTGCCTCTGGCCTTTCCTCCGTTGAGTTACCTCCTCATCAGCCGTCCATCAAGGAATATGCGCATAGCAAATTCTATGCCGCCTCGGCGTGCGGAACTTTTAGATGAGCAGCTTGTGCGCATGATTGCAAATGGCTATTATCCATTCAGTATAGTGGAGGACGAAGAATTTAAAAATTTGTACATATGCTGTGCCCAGGGTACACGCTGCCAACAAGGAAAACACTGTCACAGTCGTTAATTCCCAAAATGTGCAAAAAAACAGGAAGAGAAATTGAGGCACAAGATGGAAAATGCCAATGCAGTCTGCCTTACCACTGGCGGCTGGACGTCGGATAACAATGACAGATATTTAGCTATTACGGCTCATTACGTTGTCTCTACATCAGACGACACGAAATTGCACTCGAATTTACTGGGATGTGTGGAATACAACGAGAGGCACACCAGCGAAAATCTCACTGAATTCCTGAAAAACATCATGCGACAATGGAATATTGATCATAAAATTACCGCAATCGCCAGCGATAATGCCGCCAACATTACAGCAGCTATAAGGGAGGGTGATTGGCGACAAATTCCATGCTTTGCCCACACATTAAACCTCTGCGTCCAGTCGGCGTTGCAGCAATTGGCCCCAGTTTTAAATAAGGTGAAAAGCATCGTCGAGTTTTTTAAGCGGAGTACCCAAGCGAATCAAAAATTAATAACAATGCAGAAACGACTATGTCTTCCAATCCTCAAACTAAAAAAATATATCTTTAGCTAAGGTCATTCCTTTGTGCAGAATTATGCTGGGTCACATTAGGAGCAGGCTGCAAGTGCAAAATACGGATGCTAATCAACATATACCAGAAATAAAAAATGTCATCGAGCATTTACACAAGGAGCTCAATCATAGATTCGGTCACATCGAATCTAATATATTAAACGCGGAATCTACAATTCTGGATCCACGTTTTAACACCTTCACCGCCAAGCCCAATCTCTTAAAATTTCATTTTTTTAATTGTTTTTTTTTCTTAAATATTCATTTTTATATTTTTTTACTGTTATATTTTATCCAGCTGTCACCCCTTTCATTTTTCAGGATTTCAGGAATGTGTATCAAAAATGATACATTGGCCAATGAAAGACATTTCTCTATTAACCAATCTCGTGGGCCATGTGTATCATTTTGGATACACGGTATGTTTTAGTTTATTTGATTATTTTATATTTGTTTCAGATCAAACACGAAGAAATCACAAAGAAGGAGCTTTAGAAAAACAACGACTGTTGTGTTTTTCTATAACTCCTTTTTTGTTTTGTTTTAACCCTTTCGGTCCCAGTACTCACAATTGTGACGGTGACTTTGTCAATTTTTATAAAATTAAACAATACCCGTGAGTTGACGGGGACAGCGTCACACGATCGTGCGTGTAGTTCGGTTTATTATGACAAAGAGCAGTGGAATTAAATTACAATAATTTTGACTCAGTCGCCATTTGCCGCCTAGCAACAGACACGTGTTACGCGCCAAAATTAAACATACCTGTTTGTCACGTAAAAGTAAGTAAAAACTATAATGTTATTGCAATAATTCGTTTGAAAAAAGCTAAATTCTCGATAAATTATGTTTTTATTCGTCCTTTCGCGTTTTTAGTTTGTCTTTTTCGACTTTACTTTTAGATGTCACAATCGTGAGGGTTCGGGCCCAACGTTGGTCGGATTAGTGATTATTTATACCAATTATTTTATGTTAAAAACTCTCTTGTTTACTTTTCAGCCTATTTGATACATCGTTATGGATAGAAATAACTTGGCTTTTGACCCTGATGCTATAATGGATCAACTGGCTGACTCGGATTTGGGCGAGGACTTTGACGACGATAATGATTGGCATCCACCTGGTCAGCTAACTAATTCTAGCTCGGATAACGAAGACGAGCAAGAAGCAAGAAATTCAACAGTAGCAAGTCCATCATCGTCGAATAAATGGATTCGCAGACGATTCGTCGGTAAACCCATGCCTACACTGATCTCGGAGCCGACGGAAGAAGTACTTACTCCAAGTGAATACTTTGATAGGTACTTTACTGAAGAAATTTACGAGTTATTTGCTTTTAACACGAATGTTTATTATCAGTCGAGTTTTAACAAACAACTTAATCCTCCGGTTACTGCGACAGAAATTAAAAAGTTTTTTGGTATTAATGGAATCCTGGGCTGCATTAGATATCCTAGAATCAAGATGGTGTGGATGCAACGATTTAGACTGTCTTGTATTGCAGAGGCAATGGCTCGTGAAAGATTCTTTCTTCTCAGAGTAAACTTACACATAGTAGATAAGAGATCTGTATCACCTGAAATACAAACTCAGAACAAACTGTGGCTTGTCCAGCCACTGATAGATGCTGTAAGGGGCAGATGCTTACAGATACCTAGAGATCAATCTCACTTTTCAATAGATGAACAAATGGTGCCATTCCTCGGTAAGTGTCCTGTCAGACAATTTGTGAAAGGCAAACCGAGACCAGTGGGCCTTAAAAATTATGTCGTGACATCATCGAAAGGATTAGTGTTAGATTTTGAGCTCCATCAAGGCGACACCACTCCACTTTCAGACAGATCTTTGGGCCTTGGACCCGCTATAGTTTTACGTTTCATAAATACCCTGCCCAGAGGAAGTTTCGTCTATTTTGATAGATATTTTACGACCATTCCATTACTTGAGAAGATGTTAACGCTTGGAATTGAAGGCACTGGAACAATAATAACCAATAGATTTAAAGGATACCAGTTTCCCAAAGACTCTTCAATGAATCGGGGTGATTATCACGAGGTTGTTAACATTAAAAAAGATATCTGTGTCATTAAATGGAAAGACTCCAAAACAGTATTAACTTGTTCAACTGCTATTGGAGCCCTGCCATTGCATAAGGTCCAGCGTTACGATAAAGTTACAAAATCATACATCGAAGTAACTTGCCCTGATATGATTAAAAATTACAACGAACATATGGGAGGTGTAGACGTCAGCGACCAAATGATGGAGGTCTACAGATCATGGCATAAAACTCGCAAATGGCCAATCAAGTTAATAATGCATTTGTTTGACTTGGCCATGGTGAACTCGTGGTAAGAGTATCGCCAATCATGTGATAGAAATAAAGTCAAGAACTCTAATATCATGGATTTTCTGGACTTTAAAATATGCGTATCTGATTTTCTACTTGGCGGCTCAACGAGAAAACGCACCCGAGAAGAATTCTAAGAAATGGCAAAGATGCCTTCAAGATCCCACTATGAACCTGCACCTATTCCAACTATAGATAAACGTCTCGATGGGTATAACCATTGGCCCGTATGTGATTCTCTAAAAGCTCCTCGCTGTTGCCGAGTGACAGGTTGTACAAGCCGTTCAAAAGTAAGATGCACAAAATGCAATGTTTATCTTTGTAGTACTAAAGATAAGCATTGTTTCTACGTTTTCCATAATGAAAAATATTTTTTTTTTTAATATTTTTCTCAAGTCTATTCCTTCTAGTAATTATAAACAGATCTCAAACAGATACAAAAATATATCTTTTGACCTCTATTTTTTGAGTAATTAGATACAATAAAAATCTTATTAAGAACTAGGAACAAGGCACACAATCGAGATGATTGTGTGCCTTGTTCCTAGTTCTTAATAAGATTTTTATTGTATCTAATTACTCAAAAAATAGAGGTTAAAAGATATATTTTTGTTACTTATTAACAATAAGAAATTAAGTTAATATTGATTATAAAATAAATAATTAGTCCTAATTTTTAATTTTATTTGAATATTGTTATTACTCTCACGATCGTGAGGGTAGCTATAGTTGGGCCCGACATAGTACGATCGTGAGTATCGTGGAAAACAGTTTTCCCATTTTCCCAGATTTTTTAAGACCCCTTTTTTGTAATCTACGCATGTTATTTGCCCCAAATCAGTTCTGTAATATTCGTTAAGTAGCGCCGTCACGGCACGGGTCTGAAAGGGATAGGATATTCTATAAAACGTAAATAACGTGAGTGAGAAAAGTGAATTAAAATGGACTACGAAAGTGACGACTCTTTGTATGATCCGGATTATTATCCAAGTGACGGTAATGCGACGGCTAGTTCGGAGAGTGACAGTGCTAACGAAAGTTAGAATCCACCTTTATCTTTTAGGCGAGCATCGACCTTCACTGAGAGTGACCTGCCCCCTTTACCTGAAGTTCAGAGGAGGATTTCTGCAAGAAGAGTAGGTAATACAGATTTGGACGCTTGTAATATGCCAAGTACATCATCTGCTACAATTAGTAAGTCAAGTACATCTGCAACTACTCTTACTACTGGTAATAATGAGCCAAGTCTCTCTGGTACAACATCCGAGTGGCTAAAACAAAAACTCGACTCAATAGAGTGGCACATGCCTACTCAAGAAGGTCCAACGCCCATGAAATATACCGGGCCTATTTCAGGCTTCAAAGAAATATACTCAGGTATTCTTGCTAATGCTTCGCCAATAGACTATTTCGATTTGTTTATGACTAACGAAATTATTCAGCATATTGTAGACCAAACGAATTTATACGCCACGCAGCAACTACTGTCAAATGATATTCCTTCAGGTTCTAGGCAACATGCCTGGGTTCCTGTTACCTTGGATGAAATGAAAAAATTTCTCGCACTCATTGGTTGGATGGGATTGGTGAAGCTGCCATCGATAAAAGACTACTGGCGCGTTCATAAGCTCTACAATATTCCATTAGCACGAACTGTAATGCCTAGGAACAGATTCGAGTTGCTTCTCAAATTTATTCACTTCTCAGATAATACATTAGCTGACCCAAGTGACCGACTTTACAAGTTGAGAGATATACTTGACAAGTTTATAAATAACTACAAGAAAACATACACACCGGGAGAAAAAAATATGTGTCGACGAATCGCTGATACCTTGGCGCGGACGACTTTTGTTTAGGCAATATATACCCAATAAGAGTGCAAAATACGGTATCAAAGTATTCAAGCTATGTACCGAAAAAGGATATACTTGGAACTTGTCTGTTTATTGTGGCAAATCTAGAGACCCGCAAACTGAAGTATCAGAAAAAACAGTTATGTCTTTGGCAGAAGAGCTCTTAGATGAAGGAAGAACATTGTACACAGACAATTATTATACCAGTGTTCCTCTCGCCTTACGTTTGCGTAATAGAAAAACCCATCTAGTAGGAACTCTAAGGGCTAATAGAAAATATTTACCAAAGGAAGTGGTACAGACCAAATTGAAGAGAGGAGAAATGGCTGCAAAGCAGAGCAATGAAGGCATAGTTGTTTGGAACTGGCGTGATAAACGCGACGTACGGATGCTTACCACGAAAACGTCTGCTCTTGAAATGGTGCCAAATAATAGCAGAAATACGAACGCAATGCACACTAAACCCAAATGTATAGCTGACTACAATAAAGGTAAATCTTCTATAGATATTAGCGACCAAATGGCCACGTATGGTACAGCCTTACGACGCTGCACCAAATGGTACCGCAAATTAGCATTTGAAATAATTTGGGGAACAAGTGTAGTAAATGCCCATTTCCTGTACAACGAATATTCACTTCAAAAGAAACTCACAATCACGGAATTTCGTGAACAAGTGATCGATGCATTGCTGGAGAGAATTTCTTCAACGAATATCCTTCGACAGACCTTCACAATCGAGACCAGACGACAAGCATTATTTGGTCCAAAACATTGTAAACGATAAGAAAGTTCGAGGTCGTTGTTTGGAGTGCTATAAAATTTATGGGAGGACAGGAATACAAATTGCAGGAAAAAATAAAAAAGCACCCCAAATATACACAAAATGTTCAGTGTGTAATTTTTTTTTATGTCGTCAATGTTTCAATAAAACTCATTAGCAATTAATCTTATTTTGTGTCTTTCTCTGTAGTTGTTTTCTTAATATAATTATGTAGAAACTAATTCATGACTTTTTTTTCCATCTTCAATTTTCCAGTACCAATATTTATTGGCATATGTCTCATAACCCAATCCCAAATATAGCAAACCAATCGTCCAGGCCAATGGATATTATTTCTAGTACAAAATCTATGAAAAGCGTGTTCATTATTGGTACACAACGCTTTGAACGCAATAGGTCGTGTGTATCATTTTTGATACACTATGTTTTAACAAGCGTGTGCAAAAATGATACACTGGCGTTGAGGGTGTTAAGAATAAGGGTTTCCAGGACTCGAAATTGTACGGTAGGGCTCTGCAAGACTTAAAACTTAAAATTGGACGAAGTTCTTCAAGGACAACAATAATGCCAGCGGTAGAAGCAGTGCAACCAGAATCTTGCCCTAACCACTTAATTTCGTTTGAGTTTGACCAAGAAGTGGTTAGGCAAACACCGGACAACCCAACGGCGGCGGGGATCGTAGAACTCCATAAATACCTACAGGAGCCGCTTTTAAAGCGTACAGAAGACCCCTTAAAATGGTGGCACGCTCGAAGGAACATATATCTTCTATTATTTAATTATGTTTTGAAAAGACACAATCTCGTAGCTACGTCAGTTCCTTGCGAGAGAATATTTTCGAAAGCGGGATATACGCTGAATTAACGTAGAAGACGATTGACGACAAAAAAGTGTCACAACTCCTATTCATAAGTTGCAACTCTGATATTTGAATAAGTATGTGTAAAAACGATATGTACATATGTAAATGATGTTCTAAATAATAACCAAAAATCACTGTACATAGCTACTGATTTCTAAATACGCCAACCTAAGAATCTAATTTTTACTTACTAAATTCAACTAAGTATACCTAATATTTTACACTATAACTGAAATAACTGCACGTAAATAGGTTGCCAGTCTTTAGCCTGGAAAGTATGAAGGGAAATCGGTAAACTATAATTATAATATATATTTTCTACAAATAAATACAAACAATACCTACCCTACCTATGTTATTTACGTTAATCATTAATTCAATTATTATTTTAAACTAAAAATTTATTACTACTAAATATTTATATTTCGAATAAGTGCCTATTAATATTTATCAATCATCACAATAATAGCGCTCGCTGTAAGTCTCACACTACGCGAGCAACCCGGGTTCGATCCCCGCCGACACCAATGAAATTATTGTTAATTGCAATTTTAAGTGCTGATTTACCACGTACTCGGCGATGAAGGAAAACATCGTGAGGAAACCTGCATGTCTGAGAAATAAGAAAACTTTATTTTTTTAATCATAACAAATAGATACCTAGAAAGAAATAGCAGCCAAATATATCAGAAAGATACACAATGTTACGAACAAGCAAAATGCAAACAGCTCTATAGGTCTTATCTATCACTCTTACTGATAGGATTGAGTTGAGCGAAGCGAGCCACGCTGAGTGAGCAACGCAATGTAATGCGATGAGTGTCGTGAACGCGAGCTTGATCTACTGATACATAAGGATATAAAGATATAAAAGAGTGATACATATCCCAGTGATCAAAAGATACATATCAATCTTTTCTTTTAAGTGATACACATTGCCCATGTCTAATTGATATAATGACAGCAGTTTCTGATTTTTTTGCGAAACACGAACTGTCGTGGCAAAAGTTAATGGGTGTTTGCACAGATGGTGCACCGACAATGCTTGGGTCTCGCTCAGGTTTCGTACAATTGGTGAGAGAAAAAAATCCTAATGTTATTGCTATTCACTGTTTCATACACCGTCAAGCCCTGGCGGCCAAGACACTTTCAAATGAATTCAACGCTATTTTAGCATTATGCATAAAAATTGTCAATTATGTTAAAAAGAGCGCTTTGAATACTAGACTTTTTACGGCTCTTTGTGAAGATTTGGGTACAGAACATAAGACTCTGTTATTTCATACTGAGGTGCGCTGGCTCTCAAAAGGAAATATGCTGACTAGGTTATATGAGCTTCGAGATGAAGTTATTCAGTTCTTGGATAATCAAAAACAAAGTGAATTATTTGTAGAATTCAGAAAGCCAAAAGTTCAAGTGGTATTTGCTTATTTAACGGATATGTTCGATTCATTAAACTCATTAAACTTAAAACTGCAAGGAGGAGATTCAAATATAATTAATCACCGAGATGCTATCACAGCGTTTACTGAGAAGTTGCTATTGTGGAAACGTAAGATTTTAGCAGACAATTATTCGTGCTTTCCTAAATTATATGCAATCACAGAGGACAAATGTTTTATGGAGTTTTTTTGCGAAACCGACACTAAGACCGAAATATCCAACCACTTGCAGCACCTCAGTGATGAATTCAAGCGCTACTTCCCAAACTTGTGTGATGACAATATTTATCGATTGGCGACGGATCCTTTTCACGTTGACATAGACGTGCTGCCAGAGCTACTTCAAGAACAAGCTTTAGAAATAAAAAATGATTCAGCTGCCAAATATGATTTTGAGAAGATGGATAAGCCATTATTTTGGGTAAAATATCTCAAAGTTTATCCCAATATAGCAGAAGAATCACTGAAACTGTTTTTACCATTTTCGAGTACTTATTTATGTGAAAAGGCATTTTCAACAGTAGTGGTCATAAAAACCAAATACAGAAACAAACTCGATATCACTAGTGATCTACGTTGTGCTCTTTCTTCTATTCAACCCAGAATTGAAAACATTGTTAAAAATATGCAAGCCCATCCATCTCACTGACCGTGACGATTATGTATTTCTTTGTTTTTCTTGTCACAACAATATTAATAAAAATATTTGATTATGGTTTTTTACCCCTGTTTATTATTCATTATCCTTTTACTTTAAAACTAGCCTTTTCCCGAGGCATTGCTCGCGTTAATATAGATTTTGTCAATCAATTTCTATCTTACGGGAACAATACTTTTTTATATAAAAGGTACCTTATGTCCTATCCTATACCCCCGAAATGTTGAGTAGTTAATGACAGTGTAAAAAACGACACAAACTCACTTTATTAGTTCGATTGGGATACTTAGCTAGCCCATTGATTTCTTCTTCCTTGCATCGAAGTGAAGGGGGACGTGGGCATTTCTATTTTAGGCAGCAGCGTGGCGTGTAGAAAAATACTTTGGGAACCCCTGCTGTATGGGGTGGGGCAACTAAAACTAAATTCCTAGAGGTTGAACGTGGTCAACGCTGCCTTCTTAAAATCATGTACCTCAAACCACGTCGGTACCCCGCTATGGCATTATATAAACTTTGCGGTGTGCTAACCGTGAGACAATTATACATTTTACTTACTACTCTAAAATTCGTAAAACCATACCGTTTGACTCTACCGTGGAAAAAAGAAGAAGAAAAAAAGATGTAACAAAAACTATTCGCACTAAAACAGTGTTTGAGAAACGTCAATACACTGCGAATTCTGTTTATCTTTACAACAGCATTAACAGTTTATTGGACATTCATAACACAGCTCACCGCGATTTCAAAAAATCTGTAATTACCTAGTTAAAAACACAGAATTACGCACGCACACACACACACATACGCACGCGCGCACGCACGCACGCACGCACGCACGCGCACGCACGCACGTTTACATTATTATTTATTATTACAGTAGAATCCGTTTATTATGACTCCGCTTATATTGACCAACCGCTTATTATGACGTAATTACCAGCGAAATTTGGTTTTCATACAAAATTCTTTATAATAAAGTCGTGTGACCATATATAAAATCATTGTGACCCATTTTTACTAAATTGTGTCCAGTTATAGTGACCGACATAAATCCCAACACCTTTGGCAGTGTTCAGGAGAGTCAATTAATACCCAACGACGTTCGGCGCGTGCATGGCTTTTTTTGTTTTGAGACTCTGTGGGTAATTGATTGTTGGAAGGTCACGGGATTGTTTGTTAGTGATTTGTGAAAAAAAAATGAAATCTCAACGTCAGTGCACGTGCAGCTTAGAAAATTGAGAATCCAACTCATCTCTCGCAAGGGAATTTGGGGTTTAGACAATCTCAATGATTTTTAAAAACAAGAATTTATTATTAAGAATTTAAATTACTTTAATTAAAGATTTTTCTCTATTAAAATAAATACAATACATACTAACAATAATACATAACAAAAACTGGAGATTGTTTCTTTTCTACAAAATGCTTTATATGACGTCCGCTTAGTATGACGTGTTTGTTATTTCCCTTCGATATCATTATAAACGGATTCCACTGTATTACATTTACATTGATTACCATATTTAAATCGCCGCTAATCTTAAAAATGTAATTGATACAGGCAGGAGGACCCATCTACTATATCGTTTAAATTTGTAATTTTAAAGAAATAAAAGCATTATTATTTTTAAAAAAAATCATAGTGACAAAACGATTAGGGCAAAATTAAACTAAGGAATTTCATTTATATATTTTTTGAAGATTTTATAATATACACCAACGCTGAAGATTTATGAGTAGTTTTGTTTCAAATGTTTATTAAGTATATTGTTTTATTAAGATAGGTACTTAGTATACGAACGTATACATTCCTACTTAATTTTATAGACTATTCTATAAATTTCTAACAGACACTTTTCTATTTCAATCATAATATGTGATTGAGACTAAATTATTTAATGAGATCTTAATCCCTAATTATTAGTCTCATTTTGATATGAAAATACTTAAATTCATCTCTAGCACAGATGATACTATATTATTGCAATCAGACTTGGAAAGATTTGAAACATACTGCAATATAAATAAACTAGATTTAAATGTATCTAAATGTTTTTTTGTGTCCTTTACAAGGAAAAGTGATACAATCAATGGCGGCTATCAATTGAAGGGTACCTCTTTGGCTAGGGTATATGAAGCTTGTGATCTTGGAATAATTCAAGATTCTAAACTTATCTACGACAAGCATATATCTAGCATTATAACTAGGGCATATAAAGCCATGGGATTTGTCATCCGCTGTTCTTGTGCCTTCAACAGCCTAAAGACGATAAAAATTCTCTACTGTTCATTTGTACGTCCTATTCTTGAATATGCATCACAGGTCTGGAACCCACAATATGAGGTTTATAAGTCTCGTATTGAGGGTATCCAGAAAAGGTTTCTAAAGTATCTTGATTATAGAGCGCATACAGATTCTCAGAACTATGAAGAGAGGTGCAAACGATATCACTTTCTTCCTTTATCTGTTCGGCGTAATATTAATGACGTATGTTTTTATCTAAAAATTTGCAATGGTTCAATTTACTCCCCGGAATTATTATCTGATGTTACTTTAAATGTTCCATTAGCAAATAAGAGGAAACGCAAACTTCTTTACATAAACAGAGCTCATACGAACTATAGACGTAATTCTTTCATGATTAGAACTGCTAAATATACGAGGGTGGATTGAAAAGTACTCGGCCTAACACAGATCCATTCAATTCTAAAAATCAAATCTACCCACATTATTTAGTTCAGTTCAGACTAGTTCATTGTGTGAAGTTCGAAACGTGTGCGATAATTAGTTGTGATTTTATAAATTTATTAACAAAGTAATCGGACATAATTTCCGCGAATGGAGCAAATCGAGCAGCGTGCCGTCATTAAGTACCTCCATAAGAAGGGGCTATCATCAAAAGCCATCCATGATGACATGGTCAGTACATTAGGCGGTTGTGCTCTGTCATATTCATCCGTCAAAAAATGGATAGCAGAATTTAAGCGTGGTAGAGAGAGTGTGAAAGATGAACCCCGCTCTGGAAGGCCTTCGACGTCAACTACTGACGAAAATATTAAAAAAGTACTTGATTTAATAATGGGAGACCGCAGATTAAAAATTAGAGAGATAGCCGAGATTATAGGCATCTCTTATGAATGAACTCAAAACATCATTCTCAACGAGTTGGGTTTCCACAAGGTGTCTGCGAGGTGGGTTCCGCGACTGCTTTCAGTTGAACAAAAAAGGACGCGATTGACTATTTCACGCGACTGTTTGGAGTTATTTGAAGCCGATGCAGATGATTTTTTGAATCGTTTTGTTACTATGGACGAAACATGGGTTCATTACTGTACACCGGAAACAAAACAACAATCAAAACAGTGGAGAAGACCTGGTTCACCACCCCCTAAAAAGGCTAAGTCGATTTCGTCGGCAAATAAGGTGATGGCTTCAGTATTCTGGGACTCGAAAGGTGTGATTATGATTGATTATCTTGAAAGGGGTCAGAATATAAACTCTGATTACTACTGCACCTTACTACGTCGTTTACGAGAGGAAATAAAAGAAAAACGTCGAGGAATGCTCAGAAGAAAAGTCCTGTTTCATCAAGATAACGCCCGTGTTCACACGTCAGTACAGTCAATGGCTGAAATTCACAACTGTGGCTTTGAACTGTTACCGCATCCGCCGTATTCACCTGATCTGGCACCATCAGACTTCTTTCTGTTCCCTAACCTAAAAAAGCACTTGGGAGGTCAAAGATTTTCGACAAACGACGAGGTCAAAGCAGCTGTAGACGCATATTTTGACTCTAAGGAAGAATCATTTTTTTTTACGGTCTAAATGCTTGGAAGGGGAGGTGGCAAAAGTGTATTGAACTTGATGGTGATTATGTAGAAAAATAAAAATATAACTGATTTAGTATTTGTTTATTTTCTTGGTTAGGCCGAGTACTTTTCAATCCACCCTCGTATAAACTCGCTTAGTTTTGATATTGATCCATTTTATACTACCCCGAGTGTGGCCAAGAGTACCTTAACCAGTGAATATTTTGCTTAAATTTTTATATTAAGTCTTAAAATATTCATAAAACACATAGCTTTTTAACTTTAAGGTACCTATTGTTAACTAGTTAATATATCTTTGAATTGTCTTTTGTTTATACTTTTTATTTTTAATTCTAAAAGTGGAAACTTGTAAATGGCTTAATAGTATATTATTATATCTTTTATTTAATTATAAGAAATTGCTGTAAGTTTTCCGAATAAAATAGAATAAAATAAAATAAAATAAAATAAAATTTTTATTCTTATTTTGTAATATCCAATTACTGATCTACCTATTTCAAAACTGACGAGACAAACATTAAGAAAAATGGTAATTGGATAAAATGATAAAAACTTAATTCAGAAGTAGTTTTATTATAAAATATTAATTTATTAAATCTGATTAATAAATCAGATAATGTGGCAGGTGAAAGGAAAAGGGGAGATCTCCCGCCGGGCAAGGTTTGCTGCCCGGGGAGCGGCCAACGCTCCGATTGGGAGTTCGAAGCTATTCTATATATGCTGTTTTAACTTCGGAACTTTGTTAGTGCGATTTAGGCTTCGATGTATTTCGCTTGTGGCGCGACGACAGCGCCGCCACATCTAATAATTATTTATCTGTGCCTGCTTTTAAAATTTTCTCTAATGTCTTCAATCTGGTAAACAAACCGATGATTTGCTTTTTATTAACCGAGAGGGATGAACTTGAAATTACTTTGCCTTAAATATTCCAAATATTGCTTCATCCTGATTAAAAACCCATTTGATATTTAACTTTAGATTCCAAATAACACCAAAGTAGCGATAGATTATCATTACAAATAAATAATCTATCAGTCAGTGTCAGTGTCAGTAAGAGTAGCACAAAGTTTGTTCAAGCGCTTTCAGTCCGGGAATTTTAACATGTCAAAGATGCAGCTCGCTCTGGTCGCCTTCATACGGATAAAGTCGATTCCATTTTTGAAAAAGTGGAGCAAGATCGGCATATTGGTGGTTACGACATAGCCGAGGAATTGACCACAAAATAGTTTCGACCCATCTGAAAGTCTGACTATACAAAAAAGCTCGATATTTGGGTACCACACGAGCTCACTGAAAGAAACCTAATTAATTGTGTACTCATTTGCGATTCTCTATTGAAACGTAATGAAACTGAACCATTTTTGAAACGATTGATCACTGATGATGAAAAGTAGATCACCTACCACAAGAACGTGTGAAAAAGATCATGGTCAAAGGGTAGTCAAGCTCCACAAACTGTAGCGGAACCCAGACTAACACCATGTATGGTGGGATTAGAAGGGCATCGTATATTACTAACTTTTAACGCCGGGCAAAATTGATCGATTTGGATCTCTACTGCCAACAACTAATGAGACCCAAGCAAACTGAAAAAAGCGGCCGGAATTAATCAACAGAAAAGGAGTGGTCTTTCATCATAACGCAGACCACACACATCTTTGACCACATAGTAAAAATTGAGAAAGCTTGGTTGGGAAATGTTAATGCATCCACCATATAGTCCTGACCCTGAAAAAGTCTTGAATTTGTATATAAAATACGAAGAAAATTTTTTCCCGACCTTTTATAATAGATAAAAGTTTGAACAAAACATGTATTTTTTCTTCATTGGAATAGAAGGTTCAAATAGGAGACAAATTTCACTATCCCGCATTTCTGTTCACTAAATCGCGTTTCCTCAAAATACGCAAATCTGTAGATACGTTTTGGTTCTTAGCCGGCGGCGTCATATCTCTCGATGCAAATAGAAAAAACGTCATCATCGGCTACGCGAAAGGAAGATCTAAAAATTTATATGAGGAAACATAAAATCACATTCAAAGAAGAATGAACTTAAGCAGAGCTCCTGACACGGTTGAGAAAAGAATTACCTGAAAAACGTTATGTTGTGGACGAGGCGTTAAAATCACACGGACATGAAGTGCTACGATTGCCCCCATACAACTGTGACTTGAATCCAATCGAGCACGCGTGGAATTCAATAAAACAAAGAGTCGCTGATAAAAATGTTGAACAACATGAAAACAAAATAGAACAGCTGACAAAAGAAGCCATCGCTTCAATAACACCTGACGACTGGAAAAAACAAATAAATCATATTAAAGGGGTCGAAGAAATGTATTGGACGCATGATGTGTCCAGGGAACCTGAAATAGAAAATTTTATTATCCAAGTGGAATGCACAGCAGTGACGAAGAAACTGAATTTTCAAGCGATAATTGTCAAGAGAGAGAACACGAAATGTGTGGAATGGAACCAATAGACTACAGTGATCCTGGTGAAGGACCATCAACTTCTACAAAATAGTAGTCATAGTTTAGGCTTTTGATATTATGTAGTACCTGTAGCATAAAACTGACAATTGTATTTTACAATGACAAATCGACGTTCATTGGTCTGGTCAGCGAGATAGTACTTGTTATTTATTTAATAGTGTGAAGTTCCTCATTGAATTGTAATTGTAAAAAACAAATCTAAGTTTTATAAGAACTGACTTTTAATAAACAACTTTTTCTTTTCATCTTTCTTTTTATTTGTTCACCTTACCATCTGTTAGTGTAGGTACACAGACGCCATTTTAGATTAGTTTCTTACTTAATTAAGACTGACTCAAAACTTTGTAAATATATTTTTTTACTTGGACATGAAATTAATCACAACATATAAACACTGCAAGTTAACAAGGTAATCCTATTGCTTAATTCCTTGTAAATGATTTTAGAATATATTATATTGAAAAACGACTTCATGTCTGTCTTTAAAAAGCCTTATTTTATACAATTATTCTATCTAACTACATAAATGTTATTATTATCACATAATAATACTATTTCATTAAGGCATAAGATTAGAAATAGGTTCTGAACAAGCCTACTGTAGCTTGTACCCATAAAGGAATCTGACGTTCCTGCAGTGCCTCACTGCATTCCGATGCATATTTGTGCAGTTCGTGACATTCTTTGTGCAGTCTTTCCTGAAAAAAAAAATCGTTACTTTCTTATAATTGTATTAACGTAATATGGAAAAAAAATAGATAAACTAAATATTTTGTTATATTAAAATAAGAATTTATTATGTTACTTCAGACTACTAAAGGAATGTGCCTCACATTTCGTAAATTCAATATAAAAAAAAAACCTGCCCGATCCATTAAAACGCTTTTAGGTCTCGTGATTTGAATCTGTTCATGTTCAATTCTTTTCAAAGATATTACTAATATAAAAACACTATTTAATTAAATAGAGAACTTACATGGCAATACATTAGCCGCAGACAACCGTCGCGTAAAATATTTAGAGGCCTAGACTTTGACCACTTTTGTCACCAGGTTTCAATTATCGTTCATTCGTTTGTTAGAAATAATGATTTAAAAAAAAAACGTAAGCGGCGCTTATCTGCATATCAGATACGACGGTGTTGCCAGATTTTTAAATTTTGCTAAATTTGAAGCAAACGTAAAAATTTGAAGCAATTTTTACGTGGTAGAGGCATGCTGCAGCTATATTACTGGTATAGTTGTAGCACGAATGGGTCGGTGCGACCGGGGACGGACCACGCTCTCACAGAATACCCGCGTAAAATAGCATATATGGTGAATGTAGAGAACCGGAGACCCTTTTTACTGAAACGAAGCATTCCATCTTAGTCCTCACGGGTGACAACGCATCTGCATTTTGATCGTAATCGAGAATACATCATATAGATGTCTATGGGCTACAGCAACCCCTTACCATCAGGTGAACTGTGTGCTCGTTTGTCACCCTTATCCTGTAAAAAGAAAATGTAATAAAAAAATAATTTCGTATTGGACAGGGTGTTTTTTACATACCTATAGTAAGTCATCATTATTATTGTAATCTATCTGCGCGATTGATAACAAATTCCCATACTCATACAATAGTGGTTTTGTGTAATTGTATTAATTTAACTTCCGTTAAATTGGATTGATTGTCACTCCATATGGAATTCAAATCACCATCGATCAACAAATGTACCTATTTATTGTAGATCTATCTTTTAATGTTGATATAAAGCCTTGGATATACTAGGGGACAAAAGGAGTGGCATGTTGCGCAAAATGTCGCTCAACAACTACGTGGAATGTCCAGAGACATATGTCGCGGAACATTTTGCAGGCCACACTAGTCAGTGCTTATAAAAGTGTCGCCCGAGGATTTTGTAGCGATTAGTGCTGAGTACATAGTACTTATTTCGGGAGTGAAACATAAGCGTAAGAGAAGGTGATGGATGCAGAATTTCTTACTACAACGAGAAAAAAGAAGAGTTAATATTTTAATTGATCTCCGAATGTCTGACGGATCTTTTGTGAATTTTACTCGAATGTCAACATCTGATTTTGAAACTTTATTACAAATGAACGGACCTTCCATAGCCAAACATGATACAACACCACGGAACGTTGTTGGCCTTCATATCAAACTTGTAAGATATTTGTCGACTGGAGATTCTTGTTCTTCCATGTCGTACACTTTTCGAGTATCGAAACAACTGATCGGTAGAATAGTACCAGAAGTTTGTGGTTTGAAGTATCCCACAACAAAACATGACTTTGATAGCTCAAGAAGTAAAAGCACGGTTTCGTTTCCCCACACTACTGACTTGTTGCAAGGCACGTTGCGCACACGACTACACCCGGTAACAATTAGCACGACACTGACGCGGGACACGTGCGCTTACTCTCGAAGCGGGAACAAGCAAAATGTCCCGCGTCACGTAAAATGTTGCGGGCCATGTTGCGGGACACTGTGCAACTTTGCATCATCACGCAGATTGAGAGTTTCGCATCATGTTGCGGGGCTAAAAGTCTCGTAGTGTATCCGAGGATTTAGTCATCAGAGTCTTATTTGATAGTCAGCAGGACGTGCTTCGTGCAGGTAAGATTGGCATTTAAGGAAAAGTTCGTATTTTTCCTCTCACTACTTAAAAATACATCAAATAATTACTTATCATTACTTACCTGTTTCATTTAATTAAAGTAATAATGTAAAGAAATTATAAAACATTTTGACAAAGTTCTCCATATTCATCACAGTTAATAGAACACAACAACATAAATAAAATTTTATCATTTATATTATAATACTTCAAAAATTCAATATTTACCTGTAATTCTGATGATGTGGTAAAAATTGCAGCCTGAGCCTCAAGATCCCGACGTACAGATCTTTCTCCTAGATTAGCTGAACCAATAACCGTTGCCCATGGCCTGTTACTGCCAGGTGGATAATACCTAAGCAAATACATTATACATAAATCAGATGCTCATGTTTATATATATATATATATATATATATATATATATATATATATATATACCAGAACGATTTTAGATTTCGACCACATAACGTAGATAATTTTTGAATGATATTACATACACTGTACGTAATATGATTCTACAATTAGGCACACAAAAATATTTCCCTAAAACTTAACCTCAATTTGACATGTAAACTTTTTAAGATGTCGTTTTTATATTTTTGCTTTATACGTAACTAGCTATGCCCCGCGGTTTCACCCGCGTATATGACGCGTATGCGCCTCGCGACATGCGAACTTCGAGAGAGGCATCACGACGGACGGTTGCTGAATTAACAAAAATCTAAAAAGTAAAAAATGTTACTTAAATTACATGGTTAACGTAATTGGTGGTTATGCATGGTACAGGTATTGATATAGCCTTGAATACGAAGTGATTTACTTGGATATAAGGACTAATACCAAGGTACGAATAATGTGTCCTAGTTTGTACCGGCGTTATTACTGCATATTTTAACATGAATAAGTAGTTTATTGTTTATTGTTATATATCTGTAATAGTTAAACATATGGTACCGCAGACTTTTTGTAGATATTGATGTCCTCTATAAAACTGTAGTACATCACTTTGCTCTATTGTCAATAGTTTCCGCATTGTACGCGTAATAAGGATTTTTCAGCGTTACTATTGCATATTTTAACATGAGAAAGTAGTTATTGTAACATAACTGTAATAGTTAAACATATGGTACGGCAGACTTTTTGTAGATATTGATGTCCTCTATAAAACTGTAGGGCTAAGCGTCCACTAGGCTCGCCGAGCCGAGTCGAATCGAATCGCAGAAAGTCGCCTTCTATATATTTCCTATGAAACTGCGTCCATTAGCGACGAGCCGCGGCGCGCCGAATTGAATCGACCGCGCGAATTGCTAGACAGGCGAATTTCTTCGCTGATGCGATTCGATTCAACTCGGCGCGCCTCAATCGACGCGAAGAAGTGGATGCGCGCCAGCGTATTTTAATTAATTTTTATTTCGTTTTCGTAAAAATCTTTTTGTTTAAATAAAAATGAATGAAGAACTATTGATATAACTGGTCCAACAATATCCAGAATTGTTTAATCATGAAGATCCACATTATCACGATGAAATAAAAACATCTCTTCATCCGAGCTGTCCATGACGCAAAAACGACCTATTTTGATGAAGAATTTGCGATGAATGAACAATTCGATTCGATTCGTCAGAGATGGACGCACTAGGAATAAATGCGACTGGCTTCGATTCGACGCATTTCTGCTGTAGTCGACGCCAGGCTTAGTACATCAATTTGCTCTATTATCAATAGTTTAGTTTAGTTTAGTTTACGACGGGCTGTTTTCCGCAACTCCACGTCTATGCGCGTATGTTGCGAGCCATGAGATCTCCCCGAAGAAGCTCAACAATACTTTGATGTTGCAACTTCGGGGAGTGATCCCGGCGTGCCGAGATATTTAGCCCTGTACGTAGCGACCTCCGGACATTTCAGTAGCACGTGGGCCGCCGTTTCTTCCTCCACCATACATGCCCTGCACAGGGGACTATCTGTAACACCTATAGTAAATAAATATTTGTTAAAGTTGCCGTGTCCTGTGATAGCACTTGTTACTATCCTGATGTGCGGCTTGTTCAGTCTCATTAAAACTTTGGTTAAGCGACTGTTTATTTCAGGCAGGGCCTCCCTAGCTTGTCTGCAGTCTACTAGATTTTTCAAAAGCTGAGCGTGTTGATTAGTGAAGTGTCTACGTACCAGTGAACGAATGTTACCAAAGGGAATTGGTATGATTGGTTCTGGCCCTATAGTGGCCAGAGCCGATCCTCTCCTGGCCAGTTCGTCTGCTGCATCGTTGCCTCTGGATCCACTATGTCCCGTTATCCATTGCAGAGTCACATTGTTATTTTTACATACCTCATTTAATCGTTGATGGCATTCATATATTAGTCCTGAGTTCACCACATTGCAACTCAGAGCTTGTAGTACCGCCCTACTGTCGGTCAGTATTCTGATGGGGAATTCATTAACCTTCCTAGCATCTATTGCTATGGCCACTTGAATGATACCCATACATTCCGCCTGAAAGACTGTGTTATAGGTATTAGGTACCCAGCGGTGTGTATATGTTGATATTGAGGTCTTCAGAGAAAGTTCCAGAACCTACACCTTCATTTGTTTTAGAACCATCGGTGAAAACTCTAAGCTCTTTTGAGCTTAATTCTTCCGGCTGGCTGGTTTCATTTAATTGTATCTTGTACTTCTTATCGAAAACAAATTGTTTAGGAATTTTATCGTACTTGGCTTGTAGGATAGGAATTTTTGAGTGAATTCTATCAATTATGCCTGTATGAGGGACACTATTCTTACTCCAAAGATTTAGGGTCTTGAGTCTGATGGCAGCTAAATTCGCTTCTTGTTGTATATGTAGATGAAGCGGGGTTAGCTCCAACATAGCTTCTAAGGCTGCATTATCAATAGTTACCGCAGCGTACACGTAATAAGGATTTTTCGGCGTTACTATCGCAAATATTATTGCAAAAACATATGGTACCGCAGACTTTTTGTAGATATTGATGTTTTGTATAAAACTGTAGTACATCACTTTGCTTTATTGTCAATAATTACCGCAGCGTACGCGATATAAGGATTATTTTTGGTATTTTTCCCACACCTTGGGTTACATTAACGAAGTTTTCATACGGATCCCTAACTTTTTTGAAAATATTATATCGCCTATTTTCATCAGGGGTAATGTAAGATTCTAATGGTGAAAGAACTTTTCAAATCGGTTCAATAGTTTCGGAGCCTATTTAATTCAAACAAACAAACAAATCTTTCCTCTTTATAACATTATAAGTGTAGATTTAAAAGATTATTATAAACACCAATTTTAATTATTTTTGTTTTCTATACAGTAGTTTATTTTTAATAGCTTTTCAAACTTTTACTAATGCTGACGTCATAGAATGGGCTAAAGAGTTTGCTATCTTTATCAAGCAGAAAAATAAGTATAAACAAATTATAGACATTTAAATAAAACAAGTTCTTACGGATTGTATCACGTATGGTCACCCGAGCCAAGTGTGACATTGGGGCAAGTGTAACAAATGCAAATTATGCGGCATAAACACTTTTGGTTACCATCTATTGAACAACGCAGGAACGTTTACGCTATTGACTATACCGACAGTACATAGCTCCAACTATTTTATCGACAGACGTCATTTTTTTAAAACTACTCAGAAAACTTGCCCCATCTGGGGTAAAATACATTGTTACACAAAAATGGACCTTTAAATCGTTTATAGATAAATAAGATAAATGTCTATTATAGTTTTAATTAATTTATGTCACACATGCCTCGGGTGACCATATATTAACTTATTTTATATCTCCGTCGTTTCGAGCACTTTACAGCACTCATGGTCATGGCTGAGATGTGCGACGTCACAACGTCGTTGTTAATTACGGCTACCTTCATATAAAATTATTAATTTTTGGTCCGATCTGTGCAGTATGAACTTTAGTATCTTGAATTCTTCCAGTAGCATGGGTTGGGATTTAATTTTATTAATTATAGGATCCCAAGCACATGGAAGCACTCAGCCATCTTTTCTACGGAAATTAGGGTGGTATTTGATTTCAAAAGCCTCGTGAATCATATTTGGAAGGAATCGGTGTTCTATAGTGAGGATTTGTGGTCTAAAAAATTTGATGTAGTTATGGGGACGATCCTGGACATGTTTACAGTTCACCTATATTTTAGTAATTTTTTTGTCATTTATATTGTGAATACTGAACAAGAAAAATATTATTTTAATTTAATATATTAATAAACTTACCATAATCCTTTGGCATGGAATGTCCAGTTTGGTCGCTCATATTCCAACATTAGTATTCGACTTGCTTGGTTGGTTTCAACAACTTTTTTCCAAAACCTTTAATTAAAAATATTTATTATTGAAATTAAATCAACAGCATTATGACATTAATAATAATGTCCTCCAGACCGAATTTCGCTCACGGCAGCCAGTCTCAACGGAGCCTGGCCATCTGCGCAAGACAGGATTATAGTGCTCGAGGGTATGCACGAGCACAGGTGCACTCTCTATCGGGGGCCATAGAGACCGCCAATTTCCTAACTCCGGGCTGCTACTGGGAATTTCTAGACAGAAAACCTTCGTCAAATAACTGATTTTTGCCCGCCCCGGGACTCGAACCCGGGACCTCAGTATCAGCAACTGCGTTTACGATCATTATACCAAGGAGGCAGGTGATTATGATATAAATGAACTATAAAAAGTAGACCATCATCCTTTCTATGATTTCTCACTCAAGAATTTCCATTAACTCCCTTCATATCTTACAAGAATGTCACTACATCTAGTGGGACGTAGTCTCAAGGGTGCCACTTAGGAATGTTTTTCCTTACTGGTTGCTGGTTCATCAAGTTATATGGTCAATGCCACTTCACCCCTGCCGTTGTCATTCTATCATTTCTATCTGGCATTGATGTGACATCAACACTGAATTGACCTTATTCTTGTCAATGTTCATCTTAAAATGTAGTTCTTGTCTTTTATTCATTGGGAGACACTTTTAGGCTCATTGAGTTAATTGCTAAATGTCTACCAGCAGTTCTGCCATAATGATTATATCTTTATCATGATGTATTTGCCATTCATATTGATACCATGTAGTTATCAGTTTTTTTTTATATTGAAGAGGGGGCAAACGAGCATGCGGCTCACCTGATGGTAAGTGACTACCGCCGCCCATGAACAACCGCAACACCAGGGGAATTGCAGATGCGTTGCCGGCCTTTTAGAAAGGTGTAAGCTCTTTTCTTGAAGGTTCCTAAGTCGTATCGGTCCGGAAAATTCGCTGGTGGTAATTGATTCCACAAAGAAGTTGTGCGAGGGAGAAAACTTCTTCTAAATCGCACAGTGGTGGACCGCCAATCATCCAGATGGTATGGATGGTAACGCGAGTTTTGTCGCGATGTGCGATGGTGAAATTGAGCGGCTGGAATTAGTCCGAACAATTCCTCAGAGCACTCCCCGTGATAGATGCGATAAAATACGCAAAGAGATGCCACATCTCTCCGCAGTGCCAGTGTATCGAGCCGATCAGAAAGAACTCGGTCGTCGACGATTCGAACCGCTCTGCGCTGGATGTGGTCAAGTGGAAGGAGCTGGCACTGGGGTGCCCTGACCCAGAGATGAGAACAGTATTTCATGTGGGGCCGAACTTGCGCTTTGTAAAGTTGCAAGTGCTGTGGCGGCATGAAATACCGTCTCGCTCTGCTGAGCACGCCAAGCTTTTTAGAGGCCAATTTGGCCTTTCCTTCCGAGAGACCACGAAACTGTACACTATTCGATATGTCGACGCCAAGGATTCCGATACTAGCTGAGGCAGCAAGGGGAATGCTTTGAAACTGAGGAGATACGACAAAGGGGTTCTTTTTAGTGGTAAACGCGCAAACTTGTGTCTTCTGGGGATTGAACTGGACTAGATTTAGTCGGCCCCAATCCAAGACTTTGTTAAGCAAACACTCGACTTCAGACCCAAGTTTGTCCCGGTACTCAGCGACGTTTTCCCGAGAAAAATTGGCACGGCCGGTATATAAGGCATCACCAGTGCTGTCGTTCAAAAAATAGACTTAAAATAAGTGCTGCTTCATATAAAAAATAACTCAAATAAATAAAAAATTTTAAAACCAGCGAAACAAAAAGAGCTAGTTTTCTTCAAACGGCTGAACAGATTTTCTTGAAATATAGTTAATTTATAAAGGTGTCTACCTTTCATACACACAATAAAAATACACATAATCAAAATTGGTTCATCTGTTCAGGAGCTACGATGCCATGGACAGATACACAGACACACGGATACAGAGATGCACACTACAAATATACAACAGCCCTCTGGTTTCGTCGGTGGTTAATAAGCTAAGGTAAGTCTGGCTAAAGCGATAATTCAACATTTTAAATGAGAATGTGTGTACCTTCAACTTTTGTGACAAATCATCATCATCATTACAGCCCTTCACAAGTCCACTGCTGAACATAGGCCTCCCCCAAGGAATGCCACAAAGCACGGTCCTGAGCCACCTGCATCCATCGACTTCCTGCACATCTCACCAGGTCGTCACTCCATCCAGTGGGGGGTCGCCCAACACTTCGCCTGCCGGTACGAGGCTGCCACTCGAGAACCTTTTTTCCCCATCGGTTGTCGGTTCTTCGAGCTATATGGCCGGCCCATTGCCACTTCAGCTTACTAATCCGTTGGGCTATGTCGGTTACTCTGGTTCTACTGCGGATATCCTCATTTCTGAGTTTATCACGCAGAGAAACTCCGAGCATAGCCCTCTCCATAGCTCGCTGAGCGACCTTGAGCTTCCTCATCCGGCCAGCAGTGAAGGACCACGTTGTGACAAATAGGTATTATTATTTGCTGGTATTATATTTCACATATTTGAAGTTATGCAATGTTACATTTTTAAATTAATTACTAAATATTAGAGAATAAGATATAAAATGTTATGGAAATTTGAGTTACTGAAGTTTATATAACTTACTTTATTGCTATTAAAGAGTACGCGTGTGGTATTCCCCCAGCCGGACCAGCAGCTCCCATAAATCCATTAGCCTGAAATATTTTACATGTATTTACTATGTCAATATTTCATATTTATTTTTTTCACATATTAATAAAACATATTATTTTACACATTAGATTTTACTCACATTAGGATGAGCCATTAACAAGCTTATATTAGCTTTGCAATGTTTTAGAAGGGTTTTTGCATAGTTTTCTGTTAAATTAAAATAACCAGTAGCTAATCGGATATAAGAACCCTTAGGTGCTGATTCTAGAAAATTGCAAGTTGCTTGTTCATCTTGGGTTATATTAAATTCACCCATTTGTATCAATGGAAACACCCATGTATCACTAGGATCTACAACAATAAGGTATAATTATTAGGAAAATGATTAAAGTTCATTCTTTTTTTTTTTCATACAATAAGGGTGACTGACAAATAAGCACACAGTCCACCTGATGGTAAGTGGTTGTTGTGGCCCATAGATATCTACATCTATCTTCATTTGGGAATTAAAATGCAGATGCGTTGTCAGCCGTGAGGACTAAAATGGAATGCCTCTTTTCGAGTAAAAAGGGTCTCCAGTTTTCTACACTCACCATACGAAACACTGCATTAAGCTGCTATTTTACGCTGGTATTCTGTGAGAGTGTGGTGCACGAATGAGTAGTTTACGAATTATGTTCTAAGAGTCGATGAATGATTAAGTACCTAAAAAGAAAGTGGTTATTTCTTAGCACTCCTGTCAGATGTCACTAATTTTTTTCTAAATTTCCCGATTTAATTTTTAGGACACAATAATATTCATAGTTTGAAGTTATCAAAGTAACCAAATAGTTGTAATAATACGAGAAGATGTCTTAGTTCGTATTTCACTTTAATTTGATAAAATATATATGCATATATGTCGTAGCCAGATCTTAGAATTGATTATTTCATTAAATAATCGATCATTTAATGAAATGGTTGTATTTTATGAACTGGAAAATACAACCATTGACCACATCATGATAAGGTCTGGCCAAATCAATGAATAATCAGCGTTGGACGACATGAACAGCTAAACGCTCGGCGACTTCATAATATGGTCAAAGATTAGTGATCATATCATAAAATACATAGATTAATGATAAGTCATCGTGCGCTCTGACTAGATACCGCCGGCGCTCATGTAAAATGCGCAACAAATACTACACCGAAATCGGCGTACCCGAGCGGCTCGGGCCGAGCCAGTCGCGTTGTAGGCTTGTAGGCAACGTGTGAGGTGAACGTACCGAATGTTTTATTAAATTTTGATCATAATCCGAAGTAAAATACCAGTTTATGTATAGAAACTGTGTAAAAATAATACTACAAGAAATAAGAAAGACACTGGAATCACATACTATCATTAAGTATCATACACTTTGGAAATTTTAACATAAAATAACACGAGCCATAAATAAGTCACAAAATATCAATGACGCTATTCAGTGTTGCCGCGAATGCAAAAATAAAGTTCCCCATGGCTGAGATTTTTATATGTGAATTTATTGTTACTATATTTTATAATATAATATATTTAACTTATTTAATATAACCTAATTCTATATTATTTCATGTTTATTTCTGTAGTATTGTTCAAATGACATAATTGCCATTTACTAGGGTTCCGTACCCAAAGAGTATCAACGGGACCCAAGTCTCCACTATCGTTCCGTCTGTCTGTCAGTAGGCTGTATCTTATGAACCGTAATATGTAGATACTTGGAATTTTCATAGAATGTGTATTTATATTGCTGCTATAACAACATAAAATAAAAAAGAAAACAAGTAAAATATTAAAGGACCCAAAAAAATCACGTTTCTTGTATGAAGAACATACAAGAAACGTGGTTTTTTACTGAATTGATATGTGTTTTGTTTACAGACTAAAGCGAATCCTGGATTAACACGAAATAAAATGATGCTGTGTGTATGGTGGTATTGAAAGTTTATCATGAGCTTTTACCGCCGGATAAAACCATCGATTCGGATCTCTACTACCAATAAAAAATGAGACAAGCAAGAAATAGAAAAAGAAACGTCTGGCATTGATAATCAGAAAATGAGTGGTCTTTCATCATGATAACGCCAGATCATAAGATTAGTTATCTGTTTGAGACTTTCAATACACACTAACATTCCTAAGTCCAGTATTTGCTTGAGTACTTAAAACTGGTGTAAAATTTATAGTCATTATTTTCTTTTGTTGCTTGTGTTCTTTAAAAGAAAGCTTTCTGGAGGTTTTAATATTTAAGTTTATAATTTTTTTTCCATTATAAATGGGATGACTAAATCCACGTTCCTTCAAATCTCTGGTATTGAATATATCAAATAAAACTACTTGTCGCATTTTTTTAATCAAAATCCCAAGATTTCTACAGCAACGTTTATTTTTTATTATTTCACTACCTACAAGATGGTAACAAATTATCGAACAGAATGGACCCATATATATTATAATTAAATGTAATAAAACTTTAAAACAAAAACGTATTGAATTTGTATACAATATACGAAGAAACTTTTTCCCCAGTCTTATATACTAACTAAAGGTGTAACAAAATAGTACTTAATAACTTAGGGAATGATTCTGCCCGTCAACGTGAATATTTTTATTATGGTATCATCTTCGAAATTTTCAATTTATACGTGATAGACCCATACTGCAGCTATATTACTGGTATAGTTGTAGCACGAATGGGTCAGCTCGACCGGGGACGGACCACGCTCTCACAGAATACCAGTGTAAAATAGGAGCTTAACGCTGCAGTGTTTCCTATGGTGAGTGTAGAGAACCGGAGACCCTTTTTACTGGAAACGAGGCATTCCATCTTAGTCCTCAGGGGTTGCAAAGCATCTGCATTTTGATTATTAACCGAGGATAGATGTACCTAGTCAGTTCATAAGTATTGTCACACAGTAAAAACTTTTCTTTTAGAATGCTGGCCACAAAAAAGTTTATTGAATTCGAATTTCGAATTGTTCATGAAAATAAAACTGTATACTTTTTAGAATTTTACTCATTTTTAAATATGGAGTGGACACTTAAAGAAGACCGTGTTGCAGTTATTGCGTTGCATCGTTGCGGTTACGGGCCAATTCAAATTTTTGACATACTGAAAAATTTGAAAATAACCAAAAGATTCGTTTATCGTACCACCAAACGATACAATGAAGACTCTAGTGTAGATGACAGGTCAAGAAGTGGTCGCCCTCGGTCTGTTACGACTCCAGCAGTGATAAAAACTGATAGTTCTCGTGTGGTCCCATATGAATTTGATCAAGGTCAGACCAATAGTTTTTGAGTTATTCTTAAATAACTTATATTGAAGTCGACTGTACAAAATTTTTAATTTTAAATTATTTTATAATTGTACTTTTTTAAAAGGGACCTTTTTTTCTTTACTGTAACTTTACGAACCAGTGGGTTTTTTTTATAGAATAGGGTGACAAACGATCACACAGTCCACCTGATGGTAAGTGGTTGCTGTGGCCCATAGACATCTACATCTATTCTCGTTTGCGAATCAAAAAACATCTGCGTTGTCACCCGTGAGGACTAAGATGGAATGCCTCTTTTCCAGTAAAAGAGTCTCCGGTTCTGTACCTTCACCATACGAAACACAGCAACATTAAGCTGCTATTTTACACTGGTATTCTGTGAGACCGTGGTCCTTCCTCGGTCGAGCCAACCCATTCGTGGAAAAACTATACTATTAATATAGCTCCAGCATGGCTCTAGAATACGTGGTTCTAAATGAAAGTTGAAGTTTTCTTCAGTTTGAATAAACTTTTTATGATAAATTCAATCACAAGCTCATACAGTGGTGTCCAATATAAGACTAACGTGGTAAAATCAAGTCAAATTACAGCTTCACCTCTCAGATCCCGACATTGTATGGGACAAAATTTGTCAGACCTGTGGTCAGACCAAAGTTTTTTTTTTAGTTCTAAAAACCAGGCTCTGTCGACTTGTTGACGACACAACGCTCATTTGGACCGACAGTGACATAACTGCATAAAAAGGCGAATCTGACCTAATTACACCAAAACTATCTCCATACCTATCTACGTTATGGAGTTAAAACACCACATTTGTTATTTAAAAAAACGCCCGTTAGAAGGCAAAAGACGTTGTCGAAATATTACATTTTGGCGCGCGAATACCGGGCGATAACGACCGAACAGTCAGTTGTGCGGGGCGCTCCATTAAGTGTGCATGTGTCAGGGAGCTACATCGGCGCGAAGTTAAATATGACAAATTTTGCTATTAAACATCGGTGTTACAACGACGCAATTGTATTTTCTGACAATATCAACTAGAAATGAAAACAGTTTTGTGGACACAATGTCGTATTATACAATTGCGCCGTTGTATCACCAAACATTCGGTATTTATTTAGACGTAAATATATTTACGCCATTATTGTACTGTAATGCCTTTTTACCAATAACAATTATGACTAATTGTAATAATTTTAGACCAAATTTAATTATGTTAATTTGTTATACATTTTAAGCTATCAAAATGGGAAGTGATGCACGAATGTTAGTCAAACTTTGTGAGCAAGAATGTTCAAAATTTGAAAGTATTGGGGACCAGTCTCCTCCTTCAAAAACTGTTATTTCTACTAGTGCAAATGGTAAATAAATACTCAGTACGTTAAAATTTTTGTTGATTTTAATAATATTGTTTGTCGAGTTTTAACATTTCTTTGCTAAATTACAGAGATATTTTCTGCAGAACAAAACCAAGACGTCAGCAACATTATTTCAAACATTGATACTGCTTGCTCTAGTCAACGTAAGTCGGTTTTTCTACATTACTTACGTTTATTTGCAAAGTTATGTTCTTATGGTACAATCAAAGATTGTTGTAGTTGTATTCGGATTAACTATTTTATTTAAATTATTGTTTGTTTATTTTAGCATCGATTGTGACAGAAAATGTTATTTCTTCTCTAAATAAGGCGGATCCGTCACCGATCCTCCTAGAAAACAACGAAAACGACAGTGAAGACGAAACTAAAGACTTTTCTCCAGACGATAGTGGTGATGAATATAAGCCAGAGAAATCTGTACAACGCGACCGTATTAATTCAACGTCATCTAGCTCATCTTCAGGCTCTTCATGCTCAACTTCATCGTCTAGTTCATCTGGTACTACTTCTAGCTCACCATCAACATCGATTACTCATGATTCTGTCAGAAATTCCAATTTTATAGATACCAGCCAAGATTTAGCGCTACCTTCCGAGACTGCAGTTGCAAAGAGAGGCAAGAAGAGAGTTCGTAATGAATCTGCATGGATAAAAAATGTACGAAAATGTCAG